TTCTTCTTCTTCTTCTTTTGTCTCTCTCTGTCTCTCTGTCTCTCTCTGTCTCTCTGTCTCTCTCTCTCACACACTCTCATAGAACAATAAACGATGAGACCCAACCTTTTTGAGTACAAGGACCTCCTTCTTAATGTCAAAAAATTTTACAGACTTCCACATCGTAGCTGTATTATTTTCATCTGTTGATGAGAAAATAGATGACAAAAAGCTACTAAGAATTCAGTATTTTGTTAATCATAGAAACATTAACATACATTTGGAAAAAATCATGGCCTATCTATATGCAAGGTGTGTTATTTATTCAGTTGATAGAAGGAATATTCCTTCCCTCCCCCTACTCCCCAGCTGATCCACAGTCCATGAGTTGAGAGCCACCTCTGTAGAGGTTAACTTTTCCCTGAGCTCTGAAAGTCTGTGAAGAGGTACCTGGTGCTCTTTTGGAATTCTCTGTCTTACCTACTGTGGGGTTTGTCTCTGTTTCTCCCCAGGTTTACAAGTTGTTCTGAAGTCTATCATGAAGGCGATGATACCTTTGCTACAGATCGGCCTCCTCCTGTTTTTTGCAATCCTTATTTTTGCAATCATAGGGTTAGAATTTTATATGGGAAAATTTCATACCACCTGCTTTGAGGAGGTGACAGGTAAGGTCCAGGCAGCTTGAGTTTGCTTCTCAAGCATTCTTTTCATTTTCCTTCTTTGGCTGTTAATTACAGGAGCCTCTTGGATACAGGCATGGACGCTCATTTATGTCCCTGGCACCTATGCAATGAAGGAGAGCTTCTGCTTGGAAAAGTCAGGAAATGGGTTAAGGCTTGGTTGACCTTGGGCTGTCATCTAAGGCCTTAGGGTGTTTCTGGGTCCTGAAACAAGGGGAGAGGGAGGGTAGGACCAGCCTAAGGCTCCATTGCGCTTAGATGAAAGGAGCCCACCCTGAGCAGAAATCTCACTTCATCACTATGACCCTATTTATAGAGAGCACCAGGAAGGACAGTGGAGGCATTTGTTCTTGTTCGTCCTGCCCATCTTTAGCCACGTTTCCTAGGGGTGCCTGACTCCCACCCAACTCCTAACAAGATCCTAAAGGTCCAATGTGGTGAGAGGACAGTCGTGTTTCACAAAAAGAGAACCTATACCTGAGGGAGAACAGGTTCCCTGACCCTCCTCTTGGAGCTACCATCGTTAGCTTGTGCAGAAGGGAAGGTTTCCAGGAATGATTGCTGTGTTCCTTCTTACTGCCAAATGTGTCTGCAGTTGGGGTTGAGGCGACATCTTTAGTGACCCTATCCACAACCAATATCTCTACCAGACAGTGATGGGGCAAAGCCAAAAAAAAAAGTGGGGTAGAATTATTTGAGAGGCTCTTCCCCCCCTTTTCTCCTACTCCTTCTGTCTTCTTTTCTCCTGGGCTTGTGGAGTGTGCTCAATATGGAACGTCCTAATTATTTCTCTCCCGGATGGAGAAGGTGTTAATTGAGGCAGAGCTATTTCTGCTTCTGGCCACGTCACCCTGGTGGAATGAGAGAGAGAGAGAGAGAGAGAGAGAGAGAGAGAGAGAGAGAGAGAGGAGAGAGATGCAGAACATGACCCATTGGAAATATCACCTACAATCAGATCAGCCAGGGTCCCTTTTTCACAATTGGTAGATGAGGATAGGAAGTTGGTTTGTTTGCATGGAGGTGAGGCAGACATAGTGTAATGGAGTGGGACATCATTTCTTCTTAGGAATCTGATGGCCAAATTCTGCATTATAGGATTTACAACCAGAAGGGACCTCAAAAATCTTCTAACCACTTCATTTTACAGAAGAAGAAACCGAGGCCCAGGAAGGGGAAGTAAGGTCATATAGGGAATAGATAGCAAAGTCAGGATTCAAATCCAGGTCTTCTAACTCTAAAATCGGTGTGTTTCCCCGCTGTACTGTGCTGCCACAAGTATATGGTTTGTGTGCACACACCCAGTAGATAAATGGATTTCAGGGTATGTAATCAAGTCTCACATGCCCTTTGGATCTTTGCTTTTCCAAAAACAAAATTCAGAGGGCTTCTTAAGCTCAGTGGATGAAGTGAAAGGCCAATTCAATTCACCTCACCTCATTGTTGTTGTTGTTATTGTTGTTGTTGTTCGTTTGTGTCTGACTCTTCTTGACCCCATGGACCATAGTGTCCATGAGGTTTTCTTGGCAAAGATACTGGAGTAGTTTGCCATTTCCTCCTCCGGTGGATTAAGGCAAATAAAGGTTTAGTGACTTGCCCAAGGTCCCACACCTAGTGAGTGTCTAAGGTCAGATGTAAACTCAGGTCTTCCTGACTCCAGGCCCAATGCTCTGTCCACTGAGCCACCTACCCGACTCCTTGATTCATATCAACAAATGTTTAATAAGCAGCTACCTCTACCTACAATCTGTAAGGCCCCGGGTGAGGCATTGAGTGGGATACAAAAGAAAATAAGACGTGATCCCTGCCCTCTAGGAACATAGAGCGAAATAGTGGTGAAGATATACGCACCAATATAGAACAAAGTAGGATGTGAAAGTTCAGGAGAGAAGTGTATAGTTCTGAGGATAGGAGGTAAAGAAAGGCTACACTGAAGAGGTAGCGTTCAAAATGAGCCTTGAATGATGAGTAGGATTTCAGCTAGCAAAGATGTTTGGGGGAGGAGGAGAGGAAGGAAGGCATTATAAGCATCAGAAAGTATATGAGCAAAGTCACAGAGTCTAGAGAACACATGGTTTAAACAAACAAACCAAAAAGGCCTGTTTTGACGGCAGTGTAGGCCTTATGGAGAGAAGGACTGTGAGATAAGTTTGGGTGAAACCAGATTGCAGGGGGTAGAGGGAGGGCCTAGCTACCAAACTCTGGAGAGAGCGGAAGGCAAAGGACTCACTTCTATTTTGGATAATCAGATGCTGTTTTAAACAAACTTCTCAGGATTCATTTTCCCAGGCATTAAGCAAATATATGTTGAGCACATATTCTGTTTCTAGTACTGTACCAGGCCTTGAATGAGACATGAAGATAATGCATGATATGGCCCTTACCTTCTAGTCTAGTTAGAGAATCAAGAAATCCACATGTAAAACAAGGCTGCCCAATTACAATTGAATGCCAAGATGAGTTCTATAGACAGTAGATACCTCCAGAGCTCCAAGAACCAGAATTACTGGAAGTTTTGTTGGTGCAAAGAAGGTGGATGGAAGAAGTGGGATTTGAGCTTAGTGGATAGAAAGATTTTAGTAGAAGGGGGAGAAGAGCAGGGGCTTCGATGGCAGCGGTGGTACCAGAAGTGTGGCCAAAAATGAACATTTAACAATTCAGTTTGTATCCTCTGCGGCCTCACCATGACAGCAGGCCAAGAATCCCCACTTTTCCCCAAAATGAAATGTCAGGTTCTCTGCTTTAATAGAAGAACAATGCCCAGGAACCCAAGCCCGAGGGTACTTTTTGGATCCGACCCACCAGGTGGCCAGAGAAATGGAAATGACTCCAGGATTCTTGGGAGTGATATCTTGGAAGAGCTTTCTTTGTGTTCCATGTTTGTGGCCCCACCACCACCACTACCACCGCACACACACTGAGAAGTACTTTCCCCCAAAACTAGATGGAACTGTCCAGCTAGAACTAAAATCCTTCTGACTGGTGGCATTGTTTACTTTTGTATTATTGATATGAAAATCTCCTCTTTTGGTCAGCAACAAGTTAAAGCCTTGCTGTTTTCACTTACAAATTATCAGCACGAATTTAGCACCATTAAATCTGGCTTTTGTCACCATTTTATTTTATTTTATTTCTGCTGGGGTTGGGAAAAGGGTGAGAGCATGTTTAACCACTTAACTTGCTAATAAAATAATACATTCTTGCTCTTGCCACCATGAGCATTCAATGTAGCTGCATCTGAAGAGAAAATAACACTGCTCATCCTCAAGTTTCCATTTCTTTGAGGCTTGATAGGTCAATCAGATGCACAAAGTCTTGGAAGCTCAGCTCTGGGGTGGGACCTGTAACATCTCCATAGTGAGATCTGTTTGATCTCTGGCTTCCATTTCTACATGGATCTGCATGATTCTTGCTTTCCATTGACTCCCCTTTGAAGACTAGGCTTCTCCTATCTGTCCTCTGACTCCCACAAGCTTCTTGATGCTGTGGTCACCATCTCTTTCCCTTCTGTCTTGTAGATGATATTCAAGGCGAGTCTCCAGCTCCATGTGGAACCGAGGAACCCGCCCGTACCTGCCCCAATGGGACCAAATGCAAGCCCTACTGGGAAGGACCCAATAATGGGATCACTCAGTTTGACAACATCCTGTTTGCAGTGCTGACTGTCTTCCAGTGTATCACCATGGAAGGGTGGACTGACCTTCTCTACAATGTGGGTGCTACCAGAGGCTGGGGAGGGAAAGGGAGAGGGGGGAAGGTAAAGACAAGAGCAAGACATTGGCCTCTGAGGCAGCACTGTCCCAGAGATGCTTCTGGGACTAACATAGAGAGAGAAAGAGATGTTGGGGGAGGGGGTGAGGGTTGGAGGTACTGGTGCAACCATACATATAGACAGATGGTGGGTACACAGTGGAAGGAACACTGGATTTGGAGTCAGAATCCTGGGTTTGAATCCTGGCTTTGCAACCTACACTTGGTGGTTAAATGAATTTCTAACTTTACAGAGTACCAAGGAGAATCAGGTTCAGGGGTCAAGGAAATTGGCTTTGGGTATGTTATCAAAAGCACAGAAGTGGTATTCTGCAACAAACCTGCTTCTGTCATTTCCTCCCTATGGGGTGTGGGCAAATTATTTCCCCCAGCTTTGGGCCCCAGTTTTCTCACCTCTAAAATGAGGCAGTCAGATTAGATGACTTCCAAGGTCCCTTCCCATGCTAAATCTGATCGTTCTATGGCCCCAGACCACATAGCCAGATCCTGAAGGAAATTTTAGGATCTCAAAGATATTAGGCTCTGGGAAGTCAGGATTTTAATGGAACCAGGAAATTCAATATCAGGGCCCATGTCTCTTTAGAAAGCTAATACTCACTACTAGCTATTAGTCATCCTAGTGGTACACTGGTATATAATGTAGAATGACTTGCTGGTCAAGTATGCCTCCCTTCTTTCCCGGTCTGCGGTTACTGTTCACCCAGTATTAGTACAGCGTGCTACTAAAGTTGTCTCCCCCAGTTTGGGGGTGGTTTCCCTAGTCAGAGCTTCTTCAATGTTTTTCACTCGTGATCCCTTCAGCGCTTTTTAAACGGTGGGTTGTGACCCCATATAGGGAGCAGAAGCACTGCTCTAGTCCATACTCTTATCTGGTCTTGTGTTCCTTGCGACCAACAACCATGTTCTTATTGGTGAAGCAAATGACCAGAGTTGTGCCATTCAATCTTATGACCCAGAAACAGAACAAACCAAACAGTTCTACTATCATGGAATAGTAGAACTACTGCCCCCTTGGCCCCATTGACTAAATAAGTTTCTCTGGCCACAGATCCACTGGGAAATTTTTCTGGACTATTAGATGCAAAGTACAGTATGTTCTTTGAATGCTGGTTTCAGAGAAACCTCAAAGAAGAAATGAATAGTCCCTTATAATTGTCAGATAGATTCAGTTCTCTAAGTATCCCAGGCTAAAAGACTGTTCCACCATGTCTTTCTGCTGGCTCCACTGTTCCAGGATTTGTTCTGGGGTGCTATTTTATTGTTTTGATTGCTTGGAGGTAAATATGGGAAAGCTACAATGATTTACTGCTTACTCCGCCATCTTGACTTGGTAATTGTCAGATGGGAGGAAGGGAACTGGGAGACTGTGGAGATGCTATGAATGTACTTGATCATCACTGGTGATGGCTTTGTTCTAGCACAGAAGATGTTTCCTTATACTAGCTATAAAAAGCCTTACTGACTTTATGAGGATGTGTCCTTGATAAAGTATGAATTCCTTGCCTTGCCCTGGGTTGCTCCATTGTCTGATACATTGAAGATGATTCATTGATTCATCATTAGCTCATGCCCCTGAGATTTAGCCTTTAAAAAGAGAGGCTGAACCAGGAGGTTGGGAGAAGTGGAAAAAAATGAGACCTAAGAGGTCAGACAGAGAGAAACAAGTCGAATTCATGTGGACTCCATTCTCTGAAGGGAAGCCTTCACAACCAGCCCCTCCAGGGGTCCGTGGAGCCCTAGAGATAATAGTACAAAGAGGCAAATACAAGGAATTCTTGAACCAAACAGAGCTGCATGATTCAAGCCAGTAATAGGAGAGTACCAGCAGTAGAGCAAGGGTTAAGTTTCTGCATCCAGCAGAGGTAATAAGTGAAAAGAGTGTCTGGAGTCAGAAGGTCTGGGTTCAAATCCTGGCTCTCTAATAACTATCAGTATGATCTTAAGCAAGTTGCTTACCCTCTCTGAGACTTAGTTTCCTTATCTATAAAATGAATGGTTTGGACTAGTGACCACCAAGGTCTCTTCCACTGCTGAGGCTATGAACTAATTCCTGAATTAAGTAGAGCAATTCCTGGACTGAGCAGAGATATTCCTAGGACAAGCCTCCCGAACCCAATGGAGTTGTTCTTGAATCAAACGAGCCAGAACCAGGGAGCAACCAGGAACAGAGGTGATATGGAGAAGAAAACCAAGACGTCGGCCTTCAGTGGTACTGCGAGTTACATGATACTGCATAGGTACAGGAACGGGGTCTCAACTTTCTAGTGACCCTTAAGACCATGGGGAGATTTCAACTCCAGACCAGTGCTCTAAGTCTGGAAGAAGCCCTAGGTCTCAGAGAGGAAGGAAGAAAGAGAATTACCTTGACTTTGGGCTCCAGTGTGAGTTCTTTGCAGCTTGGGTCAATTTAAACAAAATCAGCCAGTCAGCCAACAAGCCTTACCAAGCACCCACTATGTGTCAGGCAGAGCTTGTATGGCAGCTGAAGGATCTTAAACTTCTTTGTAGAGACATAGACAGGAAATAAAATATGAACTTCCCAGAGGAAACCCTGCATGGGGGCCCATGCCAAAAAGAGACTGTAGGAGAAAACCCCTAAAGTTGAACTCAAAGTCCATTTTTAACTCAGAAGCCACAGGTTATATGAAAAGATGAGAAATCCCAAACAGGAATTTCGGTAGGACCAAAAAAGTATGTGATAATGGAAAGGGGCACTATAAGTGGCTTGGGGGTCAGGTGTCCAAAGGGTTGGCAGAAAAAGCCTCAGAAGCTCAGAGTGGAGGCATTGAGGATTTGCTAGGCAAGAAGTGGATGGAGAGGGGAGGAAATTTCAAAAGCATCTCCTTACACTGAATGAATGAAAGTTACCAGAAGTCTCCTCCCCAGGAAGTTTAAACTGAAAGTTGCTAAGACTATAAACTGTTAATAACATCTGTGTCTTTAAGATGAGATATCTTTTTGATTCCCTCAATTCCCTTCAGCCTTCAGGTTTCTCCACACCTCAGGTCTCAGGAGGCAAACCTTTCATCTCAATTGCCATTCTTAAGTCAGAACTCAGAGCAGTGATGCAATGTGAGAAGAGGGATGGAGCAAGGACATAAAGAAATTGAATGGCCATGGTTAGACTGATTCCTATTCTAAACTAGGTTTTCAGAAGGGCTCTGAGAAAATTCTAGGACTTAGAATCTCCACCCTCTATTGCTGGAGGGAAGGACTGGGGGTGTCTGCAAGGCTTGAGCTGGGATAAAATCAGGTTGGCTTGGAAGTAACCACATTCGATGCCTGTGACTTCAGTATAGATCAATAATAGAATAAAGGTGCTGCTCCTTGAACTTCTCTTCATGAGAGTCAGGGATCAAACCAGACTTTCCTTCCTCAGCCCCACTATGGAGTGGAAGTTCCACTTGCCACATTAGTCCCCAGACTTGTACCCCAGCCATCTTCAGGGTTTACAGCTAGGCTACCACCTCTGGAGTATTGTGTTTGGTTCTAGACACCCCATTTTAGGGAGAGCATTGGTAGGCTGGAAAGCATCCAAAAGGCAAACAAGATGGTGAAAGGCCTATCACATGGATTTAGCCGGGAGAGAAGAATCAGTGGGGGTGGGGTGGAGTGGGGATGAAAGGTTATCATGTGAAAGAGACATTAGTCTGGTTCTGTTTTGCCCCAGAGGAAGGAACCAGGAGTAATGGGTGGAAGTCACCCCAGGCAAATTTAGGTTCGAAATCAGAACCATCTTCCTAACAATTGCAGCTATCCCATAGTTGAGTGGGCTGCCTTGGATATGGTGGTCACTCTCCATGGAGGGCACTGGAGGATTTTCATCAAATGCAAGGTGAACGCATGTCAGAATTCTTTTTCAAGGCTGGGTTAAACACTGAAATTCTTCCAAATCTGAATTTTTGATTGAAAAGGCATCAGATATCATCGACTTCTCCCTCCCAAGGAGGCACAATGACTTTCTGTTGGAGAAGTCAAAGTATATGTTGTGATTGCACCATCACCTAATGCATCTGGTAATGAACCAAAGCCACTTCTGGGCTGGGCCAACGGCTCCCTCCCCATTGGAATGTTGTGTCCATGGGTTCTGAAACCAGCTCTCTGGTTAGCGGTAAGACTGAGCTCCAGAACCCTTGCCACTACGTTTGTGTTCCAGCTGTGGTCCTATTTGGGCTCAAGGAGTAATGCCACACAGCCTTTGCTTCCATTTTTGAGGGAGAGCCCACTACCTTCTGAGGCAGTTCATTCTACTTTAGGATAGCTCGGATCATTGGGAAGGTTTTCGTTGCATCAAACTTAAATTAGTCTCTTTGCAACTTCAACCCATTGTTCTTTCAAAAACTTGGAGCCAACCATCATGTCCCCAAATCTTTCCTTCTCCATCCTACACGTTCCCACTTTTTCCAGCTAATGCTCATATGATGTGAAGTTGACTGCCTTCACCATCCAGGTTGCCTTCCTTTGAGTGTTTTCTGGCTTGTCTATCTCCTTCCAAAATGTGGTGGCCAGAAGTGAATTTGATGTTCAGAGGCAGCTGATCAGAACAATGACACTAGAGCTACATGATTCTTAGAAGCTATACCGCTCTTAATGCAGCCCAAGAATGCATTGACTTTTTTTTTTACTATTGTGTCCCACTTAGTTCATATTGAATGTACTCTCAGATCTTTTTCTAAACTGATGCTTAGCCATGCCTTCATCATGTACTTGTGAAGTTTATTTTTTTTTGCATGCAACTGTGAGACTTTATACTTCATCCTATTACATTTCATTTTAGATTCAATGCTATCAGAATTCATTTGGAGTCTGGCTCTGACACTGAGGGTTTTAGCTATCCCTTTCAGCTTTGTATCTTCTGCAAATTTGATAAGAATGCCATCTATGCCTTTATCCGTATCATTCATAAACAGGTTTAATCATGCAGGGCCAACGACAGATTCCCTGGGCACTCCCCTTGAGACCTTCTTTCAGGTTGACATTGAACTA